GAGGACTGCAATAGGGAATCTATTCGTGACGAATAAAACTAAGCCTTCAATTTCTCACTACATTCTGTACGCCAGTTTCAAAGCAGGTATTGGATAGTCAGAGTCGCCTTGTCGTTTCTGTAGACACGATTTTCGTCGCGAGTCCAAATCGTTGTTTTCACATTAATTATTTACATCTGTTACTTCACGGACAGTGTGTGTGTGCTGCTTTTGAATGAGATTGGAATAAATATTTGTGACAAGGACCAAAAAACTTACAAACAAACAAGAATAGATTTATTAATAGCTTTTCAATAGTTTTATTAAAACGATTTTGAATATGCCAACAAGCAAGTCGCCTAACAATCATAGTCGATATAAAATCGATGTGGAACGAATTGTATCAAAACTACATTTTGACATTAGGTAGATAATGTAATGCCACCAAAAAATTGATCGCTTTTGGGAATCAGAATATTTATACATTTCGATCATGAAAATAATATCAAAATGGGATTTAGATTTTCCACTACGGGAACATCCCTTGTAACCAATAGCACTGGAATATTGACCAACAGGGGGCACCATGGTCATCCAGAAATAGATCTTATTCATTTTCCCACTGCTTGGTTTATGCGACGGTCTATCGGAAGGCATGACTCTAAGACTTATCTTGGCGAACTCATGCCCAGTTGGCCTTGTTTCTAAAAGGATATCTTTCTTAATTATGTTGTATACTGTTGCCTGGAACACGTGGATGGCTTTTACCACTGACCTTTGTATTTGGGGATTTTCACCTGTTACAAGACGCCAGACTTCGCTTAATATAGCTGGTGTACGACTTGTTGCAACCATCTGCGGTGAGCTTACATAACTAAAGGATGTCATGGGCAAAGCATATCACTAATCTCTTAATGATTTCCATATATTTTACGGTTTCCCAGATCCGTTTCGACAGTGCGATAGCACTAAGTGTTGGGTCCGGCGACTTAGCTGGTATGTGTTCGTATGAAATAGTCTAAATACCCTTTTGTCCTCCGGCGGGACAGCGGTAAGTTTATGGACTTATAACTCTAAATTCCAGGGTTAGATTCCCCGCGATGGACACAGTAGATAGCCCAATGTGGTATTACTTTAAAACAAACATATAAACAATTTTTTCTATGTAGTGTTAGTGGTCTGTATTATATGCGTTTGTATTTGCTTAGTTGAGATCTTTCCATGTTTGTCAATGCACATCACAACTTTAAAAAACATTAGCTAAGAGATGATATCACTTATCTACAGGAGAACTTTAAACATTAGCTAAGAGATGATATCACCCAAGTACCTGTCTGTTCCGTAGCCACCGTGGGATTGGAAACCTAATTGTTAACGTTAGTTTACCGCTAAACCATTGTCAATGAATCTAACCCTCCACGGAAAGTAACAATATCATCCCTACCTCAATCTTTTTGTTATGTTAAAAACCTTTGGAGATTTGCCACGACATTACAGTTCATGTCGCTCTGACAATCCTTCATTGTGACTGAAAGGCAAATCTAGAAAGCTAATAATCCAGAAGGTGATTTATTCAACAACGTTGCGACCCTAAGTCCTTCATCAGATGATATTTAAACAGGTGTGATGGTCGAAACATTGTTGAATAAATCACCTTCTGGATTATTAGCTTTCTAAAGTAACATTGTTTTTTTTCTAACTTGGAACTATTTTGCATACCACTTCTTCTATTCAGTATTTTGTTCCTAACATTAACCCTATTCACGCTGCTTATATATAAAGCCTTCCATTTTTTAATTAAAAAAGTTTTTAGAGCTGTCCGTAAAATAAACTCGTTAGACTTCATCAAGAATTACATAATGATATGCTCGCTAACTTTTGTAATCTTATGATGGTGAATTCATGCTACATTTCATTTTCTATATTTTTCAGTAGATAAATAACAAATCTGTTCACTTTTATGACACAGGAAAAAATACAACTGACATAAATAAGCCTCTTTAAGCCTTCAGTAATGGAATATTGCTGCTTTCGTAGCCCTCGGTTTCATTATTCGGTGGTGATTCCGAAACCTTTAGATAATATATTATTGCAAGTTTCCAAGAAGTAATCATATTAGTTTCAAAGGTATCATTCATCTTATTGGATGAATTTTTTTTTCATGTTTTTTTAAGAACTAATGAAAACACCTGGCTTATTGTTGAAACTTTTGGCACATAATAGGTTTTCCATTATTTTTTTCAATAAGTAATTAAACACAAATTTCAAAATTATTTAGTGGCTTGTGTAAATTGTATTAATTACAATAAAACTATGCAAGTAATGAAATAAATTCATAATTAAATTATTTTAACAGTTTGTATAAGGACTAAAATCCTATACGTGTTTTAGAGTAAGCTCAATCCTATATTAGTTTTAAGTGTATTAAGCTCAATCCTATATTTGTTTTAAGTGTATTAAGCTCAATCCTATATTAGTTTTAAGTGTATTAAGCTCAATCCTATATTTGTTTTAAGTGTATTAAGCTCAATCCTATATTAGTTTTAAGTGTATTAAGCTCAATCCTATATTAGTTTTAAGTGTATTAAGCTCAATCCTATATTTGTTTTAAGTGTATTAAGCTCAATCCTATATTAGTTTTAAGTGTATTAAGCTCAACCCTAGATTTGTTTAAATGCAATACGTTCAGTCCTGATTTCTTTAAAGTAGATTAAGTTCAGTCCTAAATTAATTTTAAGTACATTAAGCTAAATCCTGGATTACTTTTAAATAGATTAAGCTGAGTCCTAAATTTGTTATAAGTAGAATAAGCTCAACGTGTCAGGTGATTTCAATAAGACATTATTGCTGATAAAGATATTTAAAATGTTTTACTTCTTTTAATCTTAATATCAAATCAATATTAATTCTTTGGGAAAATTTTAAGTTCAGAAAATTCAGTGATTTTGAATTGGTCTTTAGCTATTTTATGTTTGTTCTCCGATGGCTCAGCGTAAGCTTATAATCCTAAAATTCGGAGTTTGGTCTCCCATTGTGCAACGTTCCGTTAAAACAAAGACGCTTTAGATTTCAGCTTTTGTTATACAACATTTTCAGTGTTCTTTGTTTTTTAATAGTCGAACAAGCTCCATTAATATATGGCGAAACCCAGAGCTCAATACTATCACAGTGATCTGAGGAATTTAAAATAGGCCTAAACTAATATAAATTTCCATTGATACCTCTATTCTGTAAGATCACAACGAACAACAGAACGAATTGAAGAAAAACACAAGTTTGACTGGCTCTAGTTCCAGTGGAACGTGAATAACTCGTGCCGCTGACGATAAGAATTCATGCTGTAAGTTCTACAGACATGTATGTACTCAAGATCTACATACATTTCATCACACTTCAGTTGACCATTACATGTCTTCTGGTAGCCGTCTCGCACAGTTATCTGGATTTGTTTCTAAGACTAAAAAAAAACAAAAAAAACTAGTATTGAGTTTTGAGGTTCAGTTTTTAAATAATAATATCAACAGGCCTAAAGTTTGTGATAAAAATCACATTAATAAAATTAAGAGGAACGTCAGGGTTGGGGGGGGGAAGATATCTGAATATTTTTAGGCCTAATGGTTCCTAATGCTTCGCCACCTTTTGGCGTTTAAACCGTAAATTATAAATTAATAACCCCCCCTTTTTTTTTACAAACCTTTAGATAGACCAATAACAATACTGAAATAAGTATCTTAATGAAAAAGGATACAATACGAATGCCAAAAATTAGTGAGATTAGTTATAATATTGACGGCATTTTTGTAAGCCAGGGCGGATTATATAACTAAGAATTATTTAGGCTTTTCTTTCTTGCACAACATAAAGATAATATAAACTACTTTAGAAAATGAAAGAAGTTTGGAAGGAAACTTTTAAAAAAAACTTTATTTTTTTAGTAAAACAATATAAGTGCTCGATAAATTCCCGATAAAACACGCTTTCTAACTGTCCGTTAGTAAATCGTGAATTCCGTGGAAAAAAAATACCTACGGGTGACCGTAATTATCATCAAGTTACACAATTGAAAACCTAAACATTCCACTGATATCACTTCCCTAAATAAACTCCTCCGGTAGGACAGCGGTAAGTTTTCGGAATTACAACACTAAAATCAGGGGTTCGATTCCTTTGGTGGACACAACAGATAATGTGGCTTTATTATAACACGACACACGCGTACATAAGACATGACATTTTCATATTGTGCAGTAAACGGTACCGCCTGCTGCTTACATAAGACATGACATTTTCTTATTGTGCAGTAAACTATACCGCCTGCTGCTTACATAAGACATGACATTTTCTTATTGTGCAGTAAACTATACCGCCTGCTGCTTACATAAGACATGACATTTTCTTATTGTGCAGTAAACTCTACCGCCTGCTGCTTACATAAGACATGACATTTTCTTATTGTGCAGTAAACTCTACCGCCTGCTGCTTACATAAGACAAATTTTATATCGAAAACGTTTTGTTCGAAGATTTGCTATAAATAAAGCAAAATATATTTGAAAATATATTTCATATAATGTCGTTGAAAATGTATTACATAATTTTTGTGAAGAAATATAACATACAAGATCGCTGAAACTTAAACGTCATCGAAATTATAAGATGTAAGGTCTTTGAAAATATAACGTATTTCTCAGTCTTCGAGAATACAGTTTTATGCACATATATATATATATTAGCCTTCTTAGGAGAACGCATAATCATTCTTATAATATTTCCAAGACTTAGTTAAAGAAAACAAAAGGCTGAGACTAGTAAAATCGTTAATAACAATATTTCCAAGACTTAGTTAAAGAAAACAAAAGGCTGAGACTAGTAAAATCGTTAATAACAATATTTCCAAGACTTAGTTAAAGAAAACAAAAGGCTGAGACTAGTAAAATCGTTAATAATAATATTTCCAAGACTTAGTTAAAGAAAACAAAAGGCTGAGACTGGTAAAATCGTTAATAATTTTCCTCTACGTACCTTGAGTGTAGAGAAATTATTTTCCCTAACGTCAAATAAAGATGAAATTTTCTGCGAAGATTTAAGGTTTTATGCTGTTGTTTTGTTTCGTTGTTAAATTAAAAATACCATACATTAAAAGGATGGAACGAAGAGCAACTTTACAAGCCTCGTGACCGCCAAGAACTGCTCAGAAACTCAAATTCGATCTTATAGTTCATCCAGAAGGGAGGTGGGAATTTCTGAACGACGTCCAATCGCAGCCCCTGTTGGCAGCTTTTTAACAATACAGCATTACCATGCACGAAAGCTCTAATCTAATCTGCAACTCAAGTAATCTAAACTCGAAACCACCATATAAACGAGGGTCTGGCAACTATTATCTATTTTTGTAAAGTTTAATTTACCAAAACTTATCTATAAGTGACTAACTGGAGATTATTCAATACTTTTTTGTTCTGTCTGTCAATGATGGTTGTCGCTCTTTCTCTCTCTCTCTCTCTGCGGACGGTTGTGAACATGATATCGTATAACACTAAACCTAAATGATGTCAGCATCTCGTGCGATCAAGCCTTCAACAAAATAAAGTACTCAGCCGCAGTTATATAGAACATGTCACGGCTCTATATAGGCGTTGTCTATCGTGGAATTGTTTTATTTAATATCTTCATAAATTAGTAGCATCTCGATATGGTTAAGTGTTATTGTTTATCATAATAAAGAAAATTATCAAATAAGGCATTGTTCGTTCGTAATAGTGTTGCAACACTTCGTTAAAACATTGTTCGTTCGTAATAGTGTTGCAACACTTAGTTAAAACATTGTTCGTTCGTAAAGTGTTGCAATCCTAGTTAAAACATTGTTCGTTCGTAATAGTGTTGCACACTTAGTTAAAGCATTGTTCGTTCGTAATAGTGTTGCAACACCTAGTTAAAGCATTGTTCGCTCGTAATAGTGTTGCAGCACTTAGTTAAAGCATTGTTCGTTCGTAATAGTGTTGCAACACTTAGTTAAAGCATTGTTCGTTCGTAATAGTGTTGCAACACTTAGTTAAAGCATTGTTCGTTCGTAATAGTGTTGCAACATTCAGTTAAAGCATTGTTCGTTCGTAATAGTGTTGCAAC